ATGTCTTTAATCTATGTCTAACGAACGGAATATTCCCTAACTATTACTAAATCTATATCTATACTATTACTAAATCTGGAGATAGAGACCGTGTGAATGATTAATATGCCTATTTCTATACTTCCGTCTATTTCAAAAATGTTAGAATGCCTAAATAGTCCAGGAGGAATCGGCGCATGAGTGCTGAAAACTATTCCACCTCAGTTTTTCTATTCGATTCTCTTCAAATTGTCCTACTGATGATATAATTGCATTTTGCCATTCGGCAACTTTGTGTCATCTGAATTTGGAATTTTTCAAACCTTTAAAAATTCGTAACTCCGAAAATAATAACTTTATCGTAAAAAGTCATGAGACCTATTATTCGTATTTTATCAAGAAATATTTTTTTTAATTCACGTTTGAAAATAACAATTCCTTGCAATTGAAAATAAAAGTCAGTTTAGACAATATGGGACCCAATTTCCTCCATGACAACATGCATTTACTCGTATATCATCAGTAGGACAATTTGAAAGAATCGCATAAAAAACTTATGGTGGAATAGTTGTCGGTATTCATGCGCTGAATCCCTATCAAACTAAATTAATGTCAGACTTATAAAATACCTAGAGAATTTTAATATTCTATCACTGTCAATTCGGCTTTAGATCCGGAACTAGAAAGTCTACCGACGATGCAGTAAATGAATCAACCAAATATTGTATTAAAAATTTTAACAAAGGCAATAAAACTGTAGGAATTATTCTGGACCGGGATGTAGGTGTCAATAAGCCAGAGAATAAAACATTAGGTGCACTGTATGGTCGTTTTTCATTTTTACTTTTATAAAAATATTTCTACTAATTTGTTAGTGAGTTACCATATTTTTTTTAAAGGTAATATATATTGTAACGACAATATTCGCGCTCATTATTACAAGCTTATCGTGTCGAAACATGTTATAAAATAGATCGCTTGATTGCTCCATAAATCTCTGACCATGATTTTTTTTATAAATTCATCAAAGAATATTTTTGTTATTACTATATTTTTTCCAGATTTGAATTAAAATGGCGCTTTTGGTTTCGCCATTTATATAATAAATTTGAATGTTCAATTTTAAAATAGGCTTTGCATATAGATATTATGTTTACTGCTGTAAACATAATATGTAACAGAAATGGGGTCGTACACCTGTACGATAACGTACGATTTATGTCTCGTTTGTTATTAAAATTTAGTAACATACTTAGTTAATTAAATAAAAATCATTGAGATTGGATGATGAGGTAAAATAGCATCTATAAATCACAAAGGTTTGTAAATAATGCTATCATCTACATCGATAGTTCCAGGTTTGATAAAGAAAAATAGAAAATACGTAATACGTATTACATTGTGTTCGGTCATCGTGGAACTAAAGTAGCTGTTCGTTTGTCGTAGATGTTATTGGTACGTTTATTTGCTCCGTGATAAAACCAATTTTGTGCGACTGCTCGCGTGTATACGGAATGTTTATATTTTCAGTAAGTTTTTCATTAAGGAATTGTCTTTGAGTAAGCTATATTTAAATTGTGTATAAATGGGAAAATTTTACAAGTTTTAAATAATTTAAATCTTTGAAATCTTTTCTTAATGTTTGGAGATACAATGTGTTTAAGCACTTTTAGTTGGAGCCTATATATTTAATTAAGATATATTCAAACTAACCTCCATGGCATAGATAAGCTAATACAATAGGGAGAACCATGGTTAAAGTTAGAAAAAATTTTCTAGTATTTTTCGATCACGTCAATGTTTTAATATTATCGCAAGTTATCAATTACACAGGGCGTAATATTGAGTTGCGTCCCGCTAGCAACGCAAAGTCAGGAACTTACTTTTAGAAAAAATCTAAATTAGGGGCTTTTTAGGTACTAATTAGGTGCCAAGTTTAAAAATTAGGTGCTCCAAAACTTTCACCGCAACAAACTGTTGAAATTTGCTTTGCTAGAAAAACGTATCGCTAGCAACGCAGTTACAATAATAGATATACGATAAATATTAATAGCAAGGAATTAGGCGAACAAGGCGCCCCAAATAAAAATAAAGTTGTTATTCAGAACAAAGCAGATGCAAAAATCAGGTTTTCTGAAAATCTATTCAAAGTCAGAAATTAGCATTTAGAAAAATCCAAAATTAGGGGCTTTTAGGTATTAATTAGGTGTCCTGTTTAAAAATTATGATGTGCTCTAAAATTTTCAACGCATCGAACCATAAAATACTATAATACACTAGAATGGCTGCCAACCTTATTTTGTACGACGATAGGCGTCGCCGGGAGCACACATACAAGCAATTATGTCGTATTATCAGTTAATCACTACTACAAACTTGATTCGCTGTGTTGACAAATGGATTTTAATACATATTTATTAGTAAATAGCGTGCAATTTGGCATGCGAAATTTGGAAACGACTGTAATTTTAAAACTCATCTCGTGTTGACATTTATACGTGAGAATTGACGTGTTAGTGGCATTTTAGTGGCTACACGGGCTCCGCCCATTCCCCCGTTCTATTATGTGTGTATTATAGTATTCTATGCAACGAACTTTTATAATTTGCGTAGCTGGCAAAACGTATCGCTAGAAACGCAGTGACGATAATAGATATATACGATAAATATAAATATCAAGGAATTAAGCGCTGAGCGATTATCGAGACCCGATGCAGATTAAGATATTATTCTGGGAATTATAGGGTCCACGACAACTATTACCTTACCATAAGGTATAAAAGACATTTTGAAAATAAATGTAAAGCAAGCGAACTGACAAATATACGAAAATAAATAAATAATAATAATGTCAAAAAACAAATATAAGTACTCTACACCCAGAGATTTGCAATAGCATTTCCGACTTAGAAACCAACGAGATAGTAAGCCAAACATAAAAATTAGTTATCAAATTATTTGCTGCTATCATTACTATATTTAAACACTACGCTTTCAAAATTGTTAATGAATGTATTTTCCGTAATGAACATAAAATTACTTTAAATAAAACTACTGCAGTTTGTGATCATATCCTGGACGGCCCCAACCATTACATAAGATTTAATAGACCACAAATACTCACGAAATAACACCAATTCCTACCAAGGATAATACGTGAGGCTATTGAAATTAAAAAACATACTATTTCAATAGAGAAGCAGGCTGGGTGCTACCACCTGCTTGGGATCCTATAAATTAAACCCAAGCATACCACTGCAAAACTTCGAAACACAGTCAGTTCATTTTGCATAGATCAGACCATAAACAATAGTTAAAAAAGCTGAAGGTACTCCGGGCTTAACAATGACATCGGGACGTCAGTCATCTCAGTCCTCCAAGTCCAGAAACAGTCCAGAAACATCGGGAATTAAAAACAATTAAAAATTAAACGCGATAAAATCCGCAAAAGTAGGTCTAATCAATGTGTAGTGTTCGCGTAAATATAGGAAATCGTTACTTTAAATAAACTTATACAATTATTTCGTCCTAGAACTAAATATACTAAACAATAAACAGCAACTATACAAACATAATTATAAATATTAACAAAAAAAATTGAATTACGTAAACAGTGTTGCCTTTATATTTTTATAAGTTATCAATTAAAATCATTAGCGACCAAACTTAATTTGCGCGAGCAATATGATTGGTGTTTTCGTAAATTATAACTTATAGGGTATGTTCCGAAACGTTCCCAGTATACCGTCAAATACAAATGACGTCATCAATTGACACTATATTGTACTGGCGTACCGCCGTCATATTGTGTCGGATATCCGGCCATAGTAAAATAATTTTTAATTGTGTGTGCGCTGAATGAAGCATGCCAGAATTTGTTTTTATTTATTCAAATACAAAAAATTATAGAATAATTGCTGGTATCTCCATTAGGAGGATATAATGATTTTTGGAGCACAAAATGACAAAATAATCGCCAACACTTTTCCAATATGGCGCTAATGTATTCATTACGTCATTTGTATTGGACGGTACACTGGGTTGTATTTCGGAACATACCCATAATTTGCCTAAACGTACTGGTACGTATCATCAACTACGGAGCGCGCGAGTTCAAATCTCGCGAGATTTGAACTCGCGATCTGTCACTGCGTTGCCAGCTACGTTTTGCCAGCAATGCAAATTTTAATAGTTCGTTGCGGTGAAAATTTTAGAGCACCTAATTTTTTTAACAGAACACCTAATTAGCATCTAAAAGCCCCTAATTTTGGAAATATCTAAATGCATGTTCTTGACTTTGCGTTGCATTGAATATTGTGGTTCCGCAAGTGTCCGATCTATCGCTGATAGTACTTACCACAGAAATCTATTATTATTTAGATTTCTGTGGTACCTACACACACACGCGCACGCACAAACGCACGCTCGATCATATAAACAGACAATCGCAACACATCTAGACCCAAAAAGGAAACCTCTTTTATTTTTACATCATATAGCCAAATTTAAGAAATTGCTTTCGAGTTTTTTAATATATAAAGCATACTACTCTATCAACGAATACTTTGAAGATAAAATGGATGGTTTTGAGTACCTGCTATAATTAATGGACGATTTATTTATTATATGTTTATATTTATGTAATTGATAATTAAGATAATAATTAATGTTATTTCTAAACATACTAACTATAATTGAAATTGTTATTTTATTAAAAATTAATTTTCATATTGCCAGGTTATAGTGCCAGTTTCATAGTGCCAGTGATAGTGATAAACAAATATTTGTATGCCTTTGTAGGCGAAACATAGTGTTACGTATCATACCTTTTCCACCAAGCTTGTAACTTTTTACCTATGTTTTACAAATAAATTATTTGATTTGATTTGATTTGATTTGATTTGATACTAATACTTTACTGCGATAAAAATAAGAACCTTGACACACTAATCAGAAATCACTAAAATTAGGACACGCCTTAATGTTAAATGTAAACACATTGTTTTAATTTTATATTTCAGGTGTTCATCAAGTCAGAGCTCAAAGTGGGAATTATTTACGTCAAAGAAAACCAATACACAGAGGAAGAGATTCTCGACAACAACGAAAACTCCCTAATGTTTGATGAGTTCTTGCAGGTTTTGGGAGAAAAAGTCCGGTTAAAAGGTCAGTTCTGTTTATCAATTATAATAATAAAACAATATTGTTTATTAGAGAAAGTAGAAGCTAACACTGGACTAGACTTGCTTTTTCAATGGACCCATTAAGATATAGGTCCTTCCGGTAGTTAGGCATATGCTTTGACCAGTCGGGTCTAACTTACGAACCTTCCACTGGCGACGACATACCCGCTGTAATTTTTTGAGTTATATATAAATATAGTTCAAAGAAATATCCCGGGTGGCGTTCGGGAGAATACGATACACCTTCTCGTCAGGTATACATCAAACCTTAAGGTTTCCACAGAAACCTAGAGCATAGCAATCAGAAGTGATAGACTTAAAAATGAGGATATCCGCAGTAGAACCAGAGTAACCTACAGAGCCCAACTGGTTTATTAAGCTGAAGTGGCATTAGGCTGGTCATATGGCTCGAAGAACCGACATTCGATGGGGAAGAAACTTTCTCGAGTGGCAGCCTCCTACCAGTAGGGGAAGTGTGGGGCGGCCCCTTGCTAGATAGAGTGACGACCTGGTAAGACATGAAGGATGTCGATAGCTGCAGGTGGCTCAGGAACGTGTTTGGTGGCGATCCTTGGAGGAGGCCGTTGTTCAGGAGTGGATTTGTGAGGGGTTGCAAAGATGATGATGATTAATGAATATTACTTTTTTTTGTTTTAAATTGTATGTTAAGAGTTAAAATTTCGCAGCAGGTCCAATCTGAAATAACAATCTTTTAAATATAATATCAATTGACATATTTTAGGTTTCGACAAATACAAAGGCGGTCTAGACACAGTACACGATCTCACAGGCTTATACTCGGTGTACACCAACTGGAGGGGCATCGAAATTATGTTTCACGTTTCTACACTATTACCTTATGAGCGTCATGACCCCCAGAAGTTGCAGAGGAAACGCCATATTGGAAATGATATCGTTTGCGTCGTGTTCCTTGAAGCTGACAACACTGCATTCTCACCAGCTTGTATCAAAAGCCATTTCTTACATACCTTTATATTAGGTAAGTTATTATATCGTGGAAATAAATTAAATTATGTAAGTCCAATAGTAAAGTTACAACCTATATACGTCCCACTGCTGGGCACAGGTCTCCCCTCATTTCTGAGAGGGTTTTAGGGCAAGAAAGTGTCCGCCGCACTACCCCAATGCGTGTAGGCAAACTTCACATGGATAGGTGAAGGAAAACGTCGCGGGCATGTTTCCTCACGACGTTTTCCTTCACCGCCGAGCACGTGGTAAATCAGCACTTAAAATTGCAATCAACAATTTTATTGGTGCCGGTGAGGATCTAACCCGGGTTACTCGCTATCTTTCGTTCATCTGAGCTACCAGGGCTCTAAGTAAGTCCAATAGTATCAGAACGTAAATTTTATGGCCTAATAAACCGTAAACAGATGTCTGCAAATAACAGGACTTATAATAGAATACATATTTCTTTATAAATAACTCCTCTTTTTACGAGCATCATTCCGCAAACTTACCACAAAATATAAACTGTATGGTAATTATTTTTACTATTATAAACCGGTGCTTGACTACAATCCCAAACGGTAAGTGGTGTTGTATTTTAATGGTAGATAATGGTACTTTGCTTAACAAACACGTACTACGTACAGAAGTTACACTTTTTTGATTTTGACTTCTTGCCGACTTTTAGCCTACATAATTATTATTAATTAGAGAAATCGCGCACGCAAGCTAAATAAAACTTTATCGCTGCGCGGGAGTGTTCATATTACTTTTCATCTTTTCCCCTTTCTAAGTCACGGCGGACTTTTCGTGGTTACTAAGTAATGTCAATAAAGAGTAAAAAATACTTCTTTGGTGAAGTACCTATTGATGATGATGTTTTCGCACCTATGTGAGTTCTGCGATGTCCAACGCATGCAACTTGTAAGGCCATTGCAAGGAATCGCGATGCTTGGCTCGAAAGAAGCAACAAATAAACTTCAAATATGATTGCTAACATTCGTATTCCACTTAGATAAAAACTTTTCAAGTATTTTATTCTACAATTAAATATACTAAACACTAAACAAAAAAAAATTCAAAAAATATTTTATGTAAACAGCGTAATCACTTTAACCATTCAATCACCTACAACGCTCTAGCGCCGACTGCGTATTTCACCCTGGGTGGCTCGTGACTGTAGATAATTATTTCACGCAGGTAGCAAGAGTGACAGAGGCATGTCAAAATGCACTCTTCAATTCTGTAGTTCAAGTAATAGTTTGTAAACCCATTTTATTGACTTCATCTAAATTTTACTCTATTACTAACTATGATAAATTTATAAATTTAAGTTCACTCTCCGTGGTATCATGACAACGACGCTGGCTGCGTTTCCTCGCCCAATGACTATACATACATACTTAGCGTTTAAGCGAAAATAGAACCTATTTTAATTTCATAAATTAGGTTCACCCTTGATTTTTTTTTAATATTTCGTAAATCGATTATACTGAAACCGTATAGTAAACCGAACCGTTTTAACGAAAATAAGGTAGCTTTTATCGCTTTACAAACTAATGGCTAAAGAAAGACCACTTGTACTAATCAATACATCACTCTATTATAGCAGCTAATTTTTTTCATTCGCAGTAAGAGTATCTGCTAAAATCAAGAGGCGCCCTACGAGATATGAAGTATCTGTTGTAACTCGAGATGAGGTCGGCGCCTACAAGCCCTATTTGTGGGAGCAGAGTGTGTTTGACAAGGGCCCTATGTTCAGGTTGGTAATTTGATTTCTACCAGTAATGAATAAATGAGTTCATTACTGATTGTAATTTTAAAACATTTTGAATTTATATGATACTAGTTTGCCAGATAGACGTTGTTCTGTCCTATTCGACGACCCTTTGTCATGTTCTATTAAAAATCCTTAAATTCAAAAAAAAAATGTGGATCACTCATGGGCAAAAAAACTATCCTATCTCTCAAGTTGGACCAAACTGCACACGGTGTGCAAATTTAATTAAAATCGGATGAGTAGTTTAGGAGTCCATCGCCGACAAACAACGTGACACGTAATTTATATATATTAAGATAACTAAAACTTCGATAGTACTAATAAATTTTGATGCAACTGTACTTTTAAAAATAATTTTAAAAATAGCTAGCTTAAACTTTATCATTGCTATGGAAGCAATAACACTAGTGATAGGATCTAAGGGTTCTTTTCATATAAGAAAGGGCAAACGAGCATTCGGCTCACTCACATGATGGTAAGTGACTACCACCGCTCATGAACAACTGCACGAGGGGAATAGCAGGTGCGTTGCCGGATTTTTAAAAAGGGTGACTCTTATCCCTAATATTGTACGTCTATAAAGCGAATTTGAAAAGTAAATTTTATTACAAGCTTTTATTATTAGATATTCTCGTTTTCGTCCACAAACATAGATTTTTTTGTAAAAAAGTTGTTAATAATTTTAATTTTTTTCTTTTTCTTCGTCGTGAAACTCTTGTGTATTACAGTGGACTTTTCACAGCTGAATTAACGCCTATCTGGAGACATTCGTCATGAACACCATACTTGGCAGCATTATGACGATGCACCTCATCGCTAGCCTGGATAATTTACGTCTGTCTTTACGCCAACGTAAACCCATTATATATTATACCCATAGTCGCCTCTTGTAACACCCACAGAATGATATGGGGTAATCCCCGCATCGAATCCATGGTGATAAAATCTTAGACTATTACTATTACAAATAGTATAGGCACTATAATGGCTATTAATACATAAAGGCGAAACTTATTTTTCTGTAGGATATTTTTTTATTTCAAATGCTTATTTTCCAGGGAATGGTTGCTAACGAAAATTGTGAACGGCGAGCGGGCATCCTACTCCGCGCCTAAATTTGCGAGAATGCAAGAGAGGACGCGCAGTCAGATGCTGGAAGATATCGTTGCTAATTTGCAGAATCATGCAGAAACCGGACAAATACCTAAACCGTATAGAAGAGGTGCGTGTCAGTCAACCTATAGAATTTTAATAAAGCTTTAATATTACAAAGCGATAGCAAGAATTAAGAATACGGTTGCGCAACCCAAAGGTCGTGTGTTCGAATCCGTCATTTGACTCTTTTTATACCCACGATCGTGCTAGTTCGAGACCCGTTAAAAACATCTGCGGCCTCACCAGCTCCAGGCGCCACTTAGCTTCCCCTCCTCGGGAGAGGAAAAGTCCTACCCTTCTTCACCTCCTCAGGCAAGGCGCGACGAAACGCGTCATAGACACCCTAGCGACTCCGTTTCGGCTTCAACAATATACTCGTATTACTGTTGAATTGAGAAATTATTAGATGTTTTCTTAATGATTTCTTAATAATTTCAATAGAGAAGATGGATGGGTGCTGCCACCTGCTTGGGATCCTATAATTAATAAAATTAAACCCAAACCTAAGCATACCACTGCAAGACTTGATGATACTATAAGCTCGTTTTGCGTAAATCGGACCAAAAATTAATATTCAAAAACTGAAGGTAGCCGGACTAACTATGACATTGGGACGTCAAACATCTCAGTCCCCCCCCGTGACCATGGTTGCTGTAAAGCACCCGAAACGTCGGGAATTAAAAATAAGTAAAAGTAGTGAAATAAACGCGATAAAATCCGTAAATTTAGTTTTATTATTAGATGTTTTCTTATTTCCTTTCAATTCTAAACAGAAACTTCTGCAATAACCAAATGTATGTTTCAGGCCATTTAAAGAAATATTTTCGTTTCAATTCCAGGATCTTGGCGTCCAATAGGCCACATGCGGCCATCGTCGCCCCTCCTCGATTCAGTCCGAGACCAGTTTGAAGACTACGACCAACTGGCAAAAGATTTTACCCGCGTGTTCTTGAATAATGAATTAAACATAGCACAGAATGCCCAGCTTTTCGACGTCGTTTTCCTCGTTGGACAATCAAAACAAAAAACTAAGTTCATTGGAGTCCGTGCTATACTAGGTGTTAGAAGCCGGTAAGTCTTTTACGTCCCTTTTTAATGCTTCAGTTATTAAAGGGTCCATTATTATTTTTCATTCTGTTTAAACAACGCTTTTCGTGTAACATTAAAAACGACAAAAAATTAATCTTTTATGTTGGTAGAACATTGGAAAATAAAAGTAAAATATAAAAAAATAAAACTTTAACACCTTTTATCTTCCATGGTTGATGAATGATGATGATGTCCCCGCTAGATGTGATGACGAAGTTTATAAATAAAATCTATAGTACTACGATATAATAATAATAATAATAATGTCCTTCAGACCGAATTTCGGTCATGGCGGCCACCCTTAACAGAGACGCCTTCGGCGCAGGATAGGACCCTTTTTACTGGAAACGAGGCTTTCCACCTAAGTCCTCACGGGTGACAAAAACAGGATTATAGTGCCCAAGTGTATGCGCAACCACAGGTGCACTACCTATTCCCTCACTCTCATAATCCGATGGGACGGTAAACCGACACGGCCGGGAGAGAGATCAGGCGCAGGACCAACGGCTTTACATCGTTTCCGAGGCACGGGGGTGAGACACCGCCAACTTCCTGACTCCGGGCAGCTACTGAGAATTTCTTGACGTAAAAACTCAATAATTGATTTTTGCCCCGACCCGGGATTCGAACCCAGGACCTCATGATCAGCAGTCGCACTACTACAACCACTAGACCAACGAGGCATTCACTACGATATAGTCACTACGATATACTGTCTAATACACGATATTAACCCAACGTCCGCGAAGTATAACCAGCAGTATGATTGGATACTCTGATGAAAATCATTTGCGTTGGGAACAATCACAAATTGCCTTATGTGTTTTCAATGTGATAACACTATAAAACTTAATGAAATACATTAAAACCAATAGTCAAACGTCATAAAGAAGCCAACAACGAATCCCACAACATTTCAATCGCATTGTGCAACTGTGAAAGTACTTTGTTCACGAGGTCAAATGGTCGTGAATGTAATATATAACAGTACAACAAATTGAGATGTGTTTTCATAAACAATCAATATCGTAAGCCCTCTAAAAGTCTAACACTAGACATGGGCCTGTCCCGCTGTAGGGAGCATATGCCTTAAATGTCACGCTTGGCTGGCCGCATGAAGGTTAGAGAACAGGATATAACGATCACTACGTACTAAAGCATAGCCCGCCTGTTCTTGAAAATTGTAGAATACATAGCGGCGCTGACGTCGGTGAGTAGTGACTGCGAAGTTAGCTGTTTATGAGTACAAGTAGATGAAATTAGTTGAATAATATACAAATTTTCTCCGCGACATTGGTGAGAAAATTTTGATGCTCCGTAATTTTGTAATTTTTGACAAAAAGAAACATTAAAAAACGGAGAAATATTTTATTGCGTGTGGATGTGGTTTAACATCTGATCGGAAAAATAAACTGAAAATTACTTTTATTCACTGAACTTAGCGATCGCAGCGCCTCACTTATGGTGTCCATATTTTCTACGGCAATCGTTCTCCTGTTCTCTAACCTTAATGGCTGGCCGATTGACGATCGCAGCACCAGAAACGCATCTTTAAAACTGCTGCCTGTCGATGGTATAAATGAGATGCTTTTACCGCCATCTATCGAAAGTCTTAACATGTTTCAGGCTTTTACAATAGTCTACAATAGGGATAAAATGAGGTGACAAATTATTTCATTGTATCCAATGGAAGGAGAACAGTTAAGATTCTTAGTACAGCAGTAATTTCAGCAGTTATTTAACTGTTCAAGGTAGCAGGCTCATATTGTATTAGTTATGTGTGATATATTGCCAGTCGGAAATCGTCAAAAGTCGCGCTAATTCACTGCTTGTTCATTTTATCTCATATTTAGTGTTTTCTTGTTTATTATTGCTGAAAACATCACAGTATCGAGAAATATAAATTATCTTTAATATAATTTGCACGTAGTTGTGTGTTTTCATTTAACTTTTTGGCGAAATGAATGTTTTTTTTTTTACGAAAATTGGGTACCCTTATATTTAAACGTGTTTATTGCTTTCCTTTTAGCACTAATGTTATATTATAATGTAAATTTAGGTGAGGAAACCTTTTTTTGTATAAACCACTCATTAATCTCATAAAATACAAAAGAAAACACGAATTAAGTAAAATATGAAACATTTTTATCCGGGCAGTATTAGGTAACCGCAATGGCGTTTACGGTTGAAGGGTTATTTTTCAAAGAATAACCAGAATTTTAAACTCAAGTTCAAATATATAAATACGATATATCGCTATAGCAGTTTTTAAAAATACAAGTAAATAAGGTTTCTACTTTTATTTGAAATCATCCCAAATTTAATGTGATTTATACACTTTTTTGCATTACCACTCATTTTCAATTTAAAAGATAAAAAGGACAGAATGTTTGAGATTGTACTTAATTAAATTTTTCTTCACCATTTGACTATATTACTTATTCTGAACCTTCTCTGCAAATTTGGCCGGTTATTGCAAAATAACCTTGTATATATGAGTCCTTCCCTTTTTCGGCCATACTTTTTTGCTCATAGTAGTCTCACAGGCGCTTTCCTAACCTTTCTTCCTTTCTGTTCCAGCGTGTTCCAAGAAATGCTGTACGGTATCCAAACAGGCTTCGGTTCTCCCCAAGTGCCGGTGGCCGAGCTGCTGGCACGGCCGGCTCCCACCCTGCTGTCGCCGACGCCCTCGCGACAGAAGAGCAGCAATTTCCTACAAGTGCCAGACATTGAATCGCCCAGGTAATTTATATATTAGGTATACAAGAAATTAGCATTTGGTTAAAATATTTAAAACAATGAGAGCTAATAAACTCACGCTCAGACAGAGAGAATTCGTGGCTTAAATACGGAGTTATATTGTAATGGACGCCACACACGGTCAGTTCAACAGATCATTCCAACTGATCAGTTCAAACTAAAACTGTTGAATTTTCAATGTATTGATGACTATAAATATATCAATATCGGAGTTTTATATATAAGTTTATTTAGCGATGTCGATGTCGATGTCGAATATCCAATATTTTCAAAAATATCAACAGTTTTAGTTTGAACTGATCAGTTGGAATAATCAGTTGAACTGACCGTGTGAGACGACCATAAGAGTGTAGCGTCAATGTGCAGCAGCTATTTATTACCCAGAAAAAGTGCATGAGAATACTAGCCCAGATAGATAATACTACTAGCTGTAGACCGTATTTAAAAAAAAAACTAAATATTCTTACCTTACCCTGTATGATGTACATTTATGATCTATGCCTGTTTGTCCACAAAAATATTTTTTATTTATTTATTTAGGACAACCAACAAGACGTACACAAACACAATGTAAATACTACAAATTACAGGAAGGTTTATATCTAAGTGCCGTCTTAATTAAAGGTTGCCACGGCATGCAATGTGAACAACGATACAACTACAAACTTAAAACTAGGTCTAAATGTTAGTTAACAGTAATGGACTGCAAAATTTTTAGCTTGAATTTTTGAGGCTTATCAAAGTCACATGTCTTTCAGAGCTGGTTATATTGCCTCATTTATTGCCTTAATTAGATAATATTTTCAAGAAGATTAAAGATACATTACGTGGTAGAGCCATGCTGCAGTTATATTAGTACGAGTAGTATAGTTGTAGCATGAATGGGTCGGCTCGACCGGGGAAAAACCACGCTCTCACAGAATACCAGCGTGAAATAGTAGCTTAATGCTGCTGTATTTCGTATGGTGAGTGTAGAGAACCGGAGACCCTTTTTACTGGAAACGAGGCATTCCATCTCAGTCCTCACGGGTGACAACGCATCTGCTTTTTTTGATTTTTAATGGAGGATAGATGTAGATGTCTATGGGCCGCAGCAACCACTTACCATCAGGTGGACTGTGTGCTCGTTTGTCACCCTATTCTATAAAAAAAATACACATTATATAAATACACGTAACACTATATGGCAATAAAAGTTTTTAATAAATTACTACAGCAAATGAAAAAAACATATCGGAACTAACCAAATTTCAGTCAAGCTTCAGTAAATATTTAAAACAAAACCCTTTCTACTCAGTGGAGGAGTATTTACATAATTAAATGTAAATTTTTATTTTTATCTAGCTTCTAAGTATATTTTATTTTATGTATGTAAGCAGTGTCCTCCTCAAATTTGCAGTGCCTGAAAAGGGCGTTTAAGTTGTAAGCACATTTTTAATTTAGGACCAAACACTTGGATTGCAAATAAATGTTTTGATTTGATTTGCTTTGACCTTTTTGACTAAGGTGATAAGTTCAACTTTTTTGTTATTATACTATAATGTATTTGTTACGCGGATGGTCACACTCATCATCATTGGTCATCATCAAGTTGCGATTTAATTATACGTTTTTCGGTCTCCAGTGTATTTATATAGTCAGGTGGGGTAAGACTAGCATTGCCAGGCGTCCGGATAAAGTCGGATACAGTCAAGCTTTTTGGTTGCGTCATATTAGATAGTGTCCGGTCTGTTCGGTTTTTGTTAGGCTTTTTAAATTTGACCATTTGTTTTTTTTTTCATTTGTCATGTGCTTGTTGGTTTGTTATGTCATTTGAATTTAAGAAAATTTTATGATAAATGATAATAAGGTTTACTTTAAAATTGTCGTGTTAGAGACACTAAGACTAAAATATTTGGGGTGTCCGGCCTTTTTATCCAAAGTCCAGCCAAACTGTTCTGTCCGGATTTTCGGTTTTAGAGCCTGGTAACCCTAGGTAAGACTAAAACAGTTTCCCACCAGAGAGAAAAAAAACTATTTTTATAAAGAAGTTCTTTGTCCTACTTTTGAGTTATAAATTATACTGATATAATGATAAAATAAACTTTTATACGATTATAAAAAAATTGCATGTTATTTCAAAACGGTTATACTGAAGAAGATGTAAAACTTGAAATACTGTTCCTGAAAATCTTCCCCGCCACCTGGGGTAAAACTGTTAGTTTGTACTGTTTTGCTTTAATGTATGTATGTTTGATGCAGTTTCTAAAGAAAAATCGTAAATGATAACAATGTGTAGTTACTTTTATTGTGCATCTTATGTATAACGTTAAAGGTTTCCTTTTTATATAATTGTGTAAATATAAATAAGGGGCAAGATTAACATACAATCAAAATCAGGGGTACCTAATATTTTTATTTTGTATATTGTGTAAAATATAATTCAAACTCTTTATTGCTTTGTTCTTAATTTTTTTTTCATTAATTTTCCCTCGGCAATTTTAATTTATCAAGTCTAGTTTCACCCAATTTCATTTGTGTACTTTATGAAGACTGTATACGTTGCAACTCCTACCCCACTTCCATTCCGCGTGGATCTTAACTTATTGTAAATGCATTATATTTGTAATTACTAATTACATAATTAGTAATGTTATATGAAGTCACCATAATATAGCTATCATGCGTGTGTATGGTGTGTGGATTCTAAAAATAGCACCACCCCGTCTCTTCTCGTGTGTGTCGTAAAAGGCAACCAAGGGGTTCATCCCAGGGGGGAGATCCAGCTTTTTCTTAGTATTAAACAATCATTCTGCGAAACGAAAGCAATCCCAAGGATAATAAAGATATTAATAGTTACTTTGTAACCATCCGCTCAATTAAATGAAATGATGTGTCTTATCTAATTTGAAGAGCACCTCCCGCCCTCCCTCAATTGCGTGCACTAATCCCGTCACCACTAATCCCAGCACACCACTATTCTAGGAAAGATACTAAAAATTCACACCATCTACGATAATACGACACTTGTTTCGCCTATACCCGAGGCATCTTCAGGTGATAGGTAGGAGTTTCATTCATTTTTATTCATTCACTATTAGTATTTTTATTATAATGGATTTCCGCAAAGTAACACCTGATTCTATCAATAATCCCAAGGATGGTCAATTTCATCCAGGCGAACTTTACAACATGGACATGGGAACGTGTGAACGATTATATATGGATAGAAAAGGAGTAAATACAGAGATGATGGCTGATCGCGATGTATGGAAGACAACACATAGGGGTGCAAATCCCTAATAAATCGGGTTAAGGTCAGAAGGATTATGATAACGACGCATTCGATTGACTTCAGGCACAGAAGTAAAAGTACGAAACGAATGGATATAATCATAATCATTATCACCATGAGGCCTATGTTCGGCAGTGGTCTCGTGAAAGACTGTAATGGTGATAATAATAATATAAATGATGTTGTTTAATTACAATTACAACCAAGATTTAAATACATTTTCATTAGTGTAGAAATAACAATTTACACTTTTATTTAAGCATTTTATTTTCATTCATATTTTTTGCATAAATTAAGACAGAGTACACACTGAAGTAAAGTTATCCACCAGTAAAATGATCGTTACTGGGGCAAGACTAACACACGTTTGTCTTTGTTGTTGTGTTCATCTTTCTCCAGCGTACAAATTCTAGGTTATGTTTTTGTTTCGTTAAATATTTTAGAAAATTTTATGTTTTTAGTTAAATTGATGTAACTGCTTAAAAGATAATATTCGTAGGATGCTATTTACGTTGAGAGTACTTCGATTATTGTTCAATTTTCACCACAAATTTTAAATATCCGTTAAACCGGCAATATCGATAAATTATTTTTACATTCTAAGCTTCTAAGATTTTTAGTGACGTTTTCCGACCATATTTACCTGCAGTAGCAACATCTGTGTTTTGAGGGGATATGACTGTTTTACCGACTAACAGAATTTCGTAAGGAAGCTATACTTATCAAGATACTAAACATTGATTGTCTTGCCTTAGTGATAGTCTTACTCGACCTCACCCTCTATATACAAAACGATGCCTCATTGCTGTATCCTTTAAATTTTTTCACATTTTTATCTTTTATTAAATTCTTCGGAATATCCATAGTTGAGTTTATTCATTTCAAATCAAATTCTTACAAAATATAACAAATATTTCAGAAATAATCACTACTCTATACTTTTCTAACAAATTAACTTCCCCCGCAATGAAATCTGTCAAATATTTTACCTTATTCCTACGTAACACTGCCCTGCTGTCAGTAGATGCCCTCAATAGTACGCATGCAAAAAGTTGTTGGTATCAAGGCAAGCATCGATGGTGACTGAATTAAGTAAATGGCATAAATAATGATAGATTTTTTTGTACGTGGTAGAGCCACGCTGCAGAGCTACATTATATTTGTAGCACGAATGGCCCACGCTCTCACAGAATACCAGCGTAAAATAGCAGCGTAATGCTGCAGAACCAGAGAACCTATATACTGCATTTGCATTTTAATTCTTAATTGAGGATAAATGTGGATGTCTATGGGCCACAGCATCCACTTACCATCAAGTGAACCGTGTGCTCGTTTGTCACCCAATACTATAAAAAAAGATTACATATAGATTACATATTTGTGCCATTTGCTGTAGAGACTATCGGTCCATGTAGTCCACTCGCGGTAAAGTTTCTAAAAAAACCGCGACTGGTTGACGCTGCTTTTTTTTGCCCAAAGAGTTACACTTGTGCTTCAGCGTGAAAACGCAGTCAGTGTTCCTGGCACTGTACCGGGAAATAGGACTGTGTGATAATTTTAGTCCCCTTAATTTTATGCTAAGGAAGAAAAAGTTTTCTTTTTAAAAACCATTACGAATCAAAAAGAATTTTACTCAGATCTCAATATTTGTATTTGCAGCCATGATGACTTCTTTTAGTGATTTCACTGCTATGGATAATTCTATTTT